CTAGTACTTGACTTGAGTCACCATGGCTACATAGTGGTTCTCATTCTCACTATGACACTTTCTCTTTTTTCAGTTATTATTATTCCCTATGCTACATCTAGTCACGGCTCTAGAATCTGAATTGAGTTAGGTTGGTCCTTGAACGTTGACCGTCAACGATCATTGTTTATTAATATTTAATTGAATAATATTAAAAAATTCTTCAATCAATATATAAATGTATTAAAACGTAAAAATCATACATATATAAAAATATAAACAAATATAATCCAAGTTATAACATAGACGTCACCAACAATAAGTTAACAAGAACCATTTTTAATTTCCAATTTCAAGAAGGCAATAACAAAGTATTAAGTCAAAGTCAAATAAGGGATTTGAATGAGTTAGTGATATTCTTGTGGGCTATCTTGCAATTATAAAAATGTATGGGTTAGTAAATATATGAAGAAGATTTTGGGGTATTGGCATAATAAAGGAAGATAGTGGGGCCCACAATTAGTGATTTTTTCTAAGTCAATACATTACCTAACCATTTTAGAACTATCCACAGAAGAATGAGCCGTCGAGCATGATTGAAGGAACTAGGAAGAAATCTTCAAGCTTGATTTCAATTTCATTTGTTCAACAACATTTGGTAGGAAAATTAAATTCAAACAATAGCAATAAACATGCTGGGGCTTTTGTCTAAAATCAACGCGTGCGCCAGTGCTTCGAGATATGAAAGGTGGCTTACCTAACCACCCCTACAAATAAATTGGCCAAAATTGGTGTAACGACAGTTGAGATCTCAAATTAAAATCACCTCCTCTCATAGATAATTTAGTCAAGAAAGAAAAGAAAGGGCTAGAGTACCGAAATGAAAAAGTATTCAAGTAACAAAGGCAGTAAAAAACAAGTTACCGATAGCATATTTCCTAGACCATAATTCTATTAGGATTTCTCCGTCAGACCACTGCTTGCTTGCTGCATGATATCTTGTATAAGCAATGTCATGTTCTGGTAAGAGGAACCCCCTTCTTCAGGTGCCATTTTTGCCATTTTTCCAAGCTTTTTTGCTCTCTCTCTCCTCTCTTTTCCCTCTTCTCCTCCATCCATCAACCTGTCGATAATCCTCGTAATTTCATCATTCTTCACCTGTAGTCCTATTTTTTCATCCTCTCCAAATGAAACAGGTATTTCAACACCTACCCTCAATCCTGTCTTGAGCACAGTCACAATGAACTTCTCGTTGCAAAACTGCTCTGCGAATATCGGCCACGTTATCATAGGCAAACCGGCACATATGCCTTCGAGGATCGAGTTCCATCCACAATGCGTTAAGAATCCTCCAGTGGCGGGATGGGACAATATTAGTACTTGTGGTGCCCAACCATGGATTAAAATGCCTCTTCCCTTAATCCTCTCCACGAATTTTTCCTCGACTAGCCATGCTTGAAGCTCATCCGATACGTTTCGAATAACCCACACGAACGGTCTATTTGATGCTTCTAAGCCTAAACCGAGCTCTATCATTTGTACAGTTGCTAGTCGAGATAAACTTCCTAGGCAAACATAAAGAACAGAGTTCAGTTCCTGAGAGTCTAGCCATTTCGTGCAACGATCTTCATCAATTGAGGCCTTGTTACCTCTTTCAGCCTTATCCAACTCTTCTTTGTTGCATAAAGAAACTGGACCAATACACCAAACCTTTTTGCCTTTCACCTTTATATATTCTTTCAAATACTCAAGTTCCAACTCTTCAAAAGTATTAGCCACTACCCCAAATGCTTCTGTCTCAGCCTCCTCTATCAGCTCCCTTACATCATTCCAATCTGAAGTCATTGGATTGACAGTTCCTCTAAGCTGAGCCTTAGTCAGTTCAATTCTATCAGGCAATCCAGGCACGACGAAATACTCAAAGTCAGAAGCTATGTTTTCGAAATCCTTGGAGATTGCCAGGAGGTGCAAACATAAAAGAGAAAAACAACTAGTCCCGTGAAACGCAATCCTCGGAATACCATAGTTTTGAGCAACATTTGTTGTCCAAGGAAAACATATATCGGATATTAAGCAACTCGGCATAGGTTTCATTTCCTTCCGCAGCAATTCTTCGACCTGCTCCCGCAGCATGCCAGCAGCAGTGAAGAACTTCAGTGCCAAATCCATGGACGGTATCATGTCGAAATTTTCACACCCTTCCGGAAGGCCTGCTTCTACAGTTGGAAATTTGAGTTCTACTACATGAATTTGTAGTCCAGAACGGATTGCACGAGCAACCACTGTTTTGAACCTGTTATGGTTGACGGGTGTCGTCAAAATGGTGACAATAACACCACGTTTAGCCAGCAACCTAGCAATGTCTACCATGGGAATGATATGGCCTTGGGCCATGAAAGGAAG